GGCGTGCGACGTTGCAAGTGTGGAACGTTGCAGTTGCCATTATAAGCGAAAGCGCCACTCCGGATCCTAACGAAGGCGGACTGGCCTTTCTTCTGCATGAGGTCGTATATAACTGGTTATGCTTGCTGGCTACAGTAATCGGCGAACCTCTCAACCCGGCGTATTTCTTCCATCCACCACGGAAGGGCGACGAAGGACACAGTGTCGATAAGAGTGCGATGCAACAGGATTTGAGTCTACTGGGGGTGGATATCGTGTATCGTGGGCGGTTGGAGGCAGCCAAGGCCATAGGTACGCTAATCTCGGCCTGGCCTATTGATGTGAGTACCAGGAAGAGACATGTGGTGATGGTACTAACATATATATAGCTCCATCATCATACATTCGGCGAGCTTCTACTCCACTTTACCAACTCCTCCAGTGCCTACCAACGCTTCATTGCTGCGACAATCGTTCAGGAATGGGCTCTCGCCCAACCAACTATCAATGGAACTCCCTTGGCCAAGGCTTCTCCTCTCGCTGAGCAGTGCTCGAATCATCTCCTTGCTTTCCTCGAAAAGGATTGTCCACCTTCCTATCACGAAATGCTTGTGCACCTTCGTGGGCTCGCGCTCGACTGCCGCACACTTCTTAATTGCTTCTCCGATGATGCCAAGGTACCAGCCTCCAAGATCCCAACAATGCCCGATCGACTCGACCCCGAGGGGGCTGAAGAAGGCACGTTTACCCTCGCATACGCCCAGCGGTTCGTTGGAGAAATCTTTGACGGACTCAAGACAAGTATTCCCCGCGGGAAAAAGAAAGAGATTGCGGGCTTGGAAGAGAAGAAATCGAGGGTGGTGCTCGGGATTGAACGGTACGGCGTCGTCAAAGGGCAGTGGGATGCGCGAGTGTTTGCGGCGGTGGCAGCTGCATTGATATCTTTACGCGTACATCCTTCCAAATTGAACCCCCTTGTGAGGAGTATCATGAACGGGGTCAAGGCAAGTCTGACCAAACGTTTGTCAAGGGGGGTGCTAACAATAGAAATAGTTTGAAGATAACCTCGATATCCAAACTCGCTCAGCCAATGCGGTTGCAACGTTCGTCTCGGATTGCACTACCCCGTCGTCTGGCTTGGTCGTGATGCCCGCCGAGAAGATAGTCAAGAATCTATGCGCATTTGTCTGCCAAGATACCGACATTACCCCTGTGTTCTCTCAGTCACGCCGTATCCTCGCTGGTGTACTCACCGTTAAAGCAATGTCCGCTAAGGCATCGCAATCTCACGGTCGTAACAAAGATGAAGGAACAAATTATTCACCGGAGATTGCCAAAGCGCGTATTATCAAGCGTGGTGCCCAGCTCGCGCTCACCCGCCTTGGGGAGCTCTTCGGTGCCGAACTGTTCACTCGCTTGAAGCAGATGTGGGATTCAATGGTTGGCGGGTTGACGTATGCATTCGGAGAAGGTAGGAAGAGTGAATGCTGGGAATGCTGGCACTTGACTAACGGTGTGGGTGGATAGGGTCGGACGGAGACAAAAAGATCGAGAAATCTGATGAGGTTGGGCAGCAAGTTATCGATAGCCTTACTGTTCTTCACGTGGTCGTCCCAAGCTTAGAGGAGTCCTTGCATGATCGAGTTGCCGAGCTCTTTCCAACAGTCGCCCGATCCTTGCGTAGTAAATTCGCGCTTGTACGGCAAGCTGCAGCTCGGTCACTCGCGACGCTATGCAACACAGTTACAACCAAGGGTATGCGATTCGTTGTGGAACATGTGCTATCCTACTTGGGCGATACAACCGTACTAGAGAATAGACAGGGTACGATGGAATTAATTTATCGTAAGTGAATACCTGCTCAGTCGATCAGACAGAAATTGAGGTTTGGCTTTAGACATCGTGCAGAAACTCGACATGAAGGTTCTTCCTTACGTACTATTCCTGATCGTACCCGTCCTTGGGCGAATGAGCGACAATGACAACGACTGTCGCTACGTTGCCTCGAATACCTTTGCCTCGCTGGTGCGAATGGTGCCTCTCGAGGTGAGTAGCTATTAAGGCAGGACAATAAAACGTACTAAAGCCCCTCAAAGGCTGGCTTGCCAGACCCACCAGGCTTCTCTCAAGAGCTACTAGCCAAGCGTGAGACAGAGCGCGAATTTTTGACCCAGCTGCTCGACGGTTCCAAAGTCACGCCTTACGAAATACCCATCAAGCTTAATGTTGAGCTGCGTAAGTATCAACAGGAGGGCATCAATTGGCTCGCATTCCTCGCCAAGTACCAACTGCATGGCATTTTATGTGATGGTGAGCAAATCGATGGCCTTGATCCACAAATTGTTGATTATTTGGTGCTAGACATGGGTTTGGGCAAAACACTCCAGTCTATCGTTATCTTGGCCAGCAAGCACCACGAGCGAGCAGAGCGGTACAGGCAAACGCGATCCCCAGATTCCGTTCACATTCCGTCACTCATCATCTGCCCTACGACCCTTACGGGTCACTGGTACGCCGAGATTGTGAAGTACACGAACAACCTGAAGGCTCTTCGTTATGTTGGTACAAGTCGCGAGCGCCAGAAATTGGTCGACCAAATACCACATCATGATGTGGTGATCGCTTCATACGATTCAGTGCGCAACGATATCGCAAACCTCACGCAGTTCAACTGGCACTACTGCATTTTGGATGAAGGACATCAGATCAAGAACGGTAGGACCAAAATTACACAGGCTGTGAAAATGATCAACGCCCACCATCGATTGTTGCTCTCCGGAACGCCCATCCAAAACAACGTCCTCGAGTTGTGGAGTCTCTTTGACTTCCTGATGCCTGGTTTCCTCGGGACAGAACAGCAGTTTAATGAGCGATTTGGTAAACCGATTCTCGCAAACAAGGATGCAAAAGCTTCTGCAAAGACTCGGGAGGCAGGTCAGTTGTTTACTGCAGGTCTAGCACACGATGGCTAACCCACCACCTTCAGCAACTTTGGCTCTGGAGGCCTTGCACAAACAAGTGCTTCCGTTCCTCCTCCGCCGGCTCAAGGAACAGGTACTCAACGATCTACCGCCTAAAATCATTCAAGACCACTACTGCGAACTGTCTGAAATGCAAAAGCACCTCTACGACGCATTCTCCCAGTCTCAGGCTGGTGATATGACCCAAGGGATGGTCAAAGCCAACGGTTCAGCCAATGTGAACCAACACCATGTGTTCCAATCGCTGCAGTATTTACGAAAACTGTGCAACCATCCTACTCTAGTTGTCAAGGATGCTGGCGACGAGGCAGAACTCGTTCGTCGGTTCGCAATCAAGGGCGAGCCGAGCGCCAAAGGAATACGCGATATACGGCACGCTCCCAAGTTGCTCGCTCTGAGGTACGTAAGACGCCCCGCACGAAGGTCAACATCGCTGACGTCTTTGACAGGCAACTTTTGAACGACTGTGGTATTGGGACAGCATCCAGCGAGGACGGCGAAGCCCCCAAATCCGGAGAAGATACTGACCCAATCTCTTCACAACATCGAGTCCTTATATTCTGCCAGATGCGACAGATGTTAGACATCATTGAAGAGGATCTTTTCCGTCCACTCATGCCCACTGTCACTTACATGAGGTTGGATGGGTCTACGCCAGCTAGCCAACGTCACGGGGTGGTTCAGACATTCAACGCGGACCCCAGCATTGACTGCCTACTCCTCACTACTAGTGTTGGTGGTCTTGGACTCACTCTTACTGGCGCCGACACGGTAATTTTTGTGGAACACGACTGGAATCCCATGAAAGACCTCCAAGCTATGGATCGCGCTCACAGATTAGGCCAGAAAAAGGTAGTGAATGTATACCGGTTGGTCACCAAGGGGACACTGGAAGAGAAGATTATGGGGTATGTTCCTTGCACATCATAGCTCCTACTTGTACTGAACTTCTGCCTTAGCTTACAACGGTTCAAGCTGAATATTGCCAACTCTGTCATCACCCAGCAGAACTCAGGACTCGCCTCAATGGATACCGACCAGGTACTCGACTTGTTCAAGCGTACCACCGAAGAGGAAGATGCAGCGGCGGCAGCGAAAAAACGGGAAGAGAAGAAGGCCGCCGCCGGGGGCACTGTTTCGCAGAAACATATCCTCGAGGGTCTCGAAGATCTTCCCGGAGAAGATGAATACTCCAGTCTTGGTCTAGATAATTTTATGGACTCCCTTAAGCAACGTTAATTTTGTATATGTATATGTATTCGCTCTGGCTGCATGTCGCTATCGATGGGATTCTCGTTTGTAATAAGATTTTTAATACCCCTTCAAATGCGTGCATCCCTATTCGGTAGTCGTCGGGGTCTCTGGTGCCTTTGCCAATAACGACTCGCCCTTGCGCTTTCCAGCCCACTGGATCTTTGTCTGTGCCGGGGAGTGAATAAGTAGGCTAAAACCAAGGTGCAATCTACTTACATCAAGGACCGTAGCCGTTGCCACTACAGCCAGAGGAACAATGCCGAGCCAAAGTGTTACACGAGGAGCTGCGTAAGGAGTCATGCGGAATCCCTTCCAAAGGTTATCCCTCTATAATTAATGATATATGCTTAGGAAATCGCTCGGTATTGAACAGCACCACTCAACGCACCATAGCCCCCCATCTTTCGATAGCAGGGTCAATCTATCTCACTTATCCGTAAGCCAGGAATGCAGTGGTACATCACATGTGGCGCACCTTAAGAGTTCCTGTGGTGTAAATTGTCAAACAACACCAGTAACTAGCACTGAGATGACCTACCGTGGTCTCCGGCCATGATGGTGGTAAAGTGTGTGAGTGGCAGATGAAGGGGCAGTCGATCACGTGCCAATTGGCTCTCCTTTCAGGGTCAACTCGAGTCGCGCCAAGTACCCAGAAGATCTACCACTCTTATCACCGCCCATACTGACACTGGTAAGCGAAGGAATACTATTGCTTGTCTACTTTTTGCCTAACAGGAGCCCCAACGTTGAGTACGCAATATTTCACTTTTTTACTTAAACCCCCAAGGCCGTTTGGTGTAGTTGGTTATCACGCATCCTTCACACGCTTGTAAACGGATGAGGTCGCTAGTTCGAACCTTGCAATGGTCATAAATTTTACTTTTGTTTGATCCACACTCCCGATCCCCAACTTACTATCCTCAAACCCAGCGACCCCTCTCAATAGTACCACAATAGTACCACATTAGCCGCAGAAGTTACTGCATACACGCACCACGCAGCTATTATCGTACCGCACGCTATATAATGTGAGAAACTCTATATATACACTCTAACCCTCCCAACTACTAGGGTACATGCGGCGAAATCTCACGCATTTACCCGCTCACGCTTACCCATAATACATATGATAGTATATTTGGCCTTGTTTGTATGACTTATCGATCCTCATCTTCCCAACCACAACTACTAGTAGGTCAACATGGCTGCCAACGCACTCGACTGCATAATGCTTCTCGGAGACTCTCTGACGCAAGGGGGTTGGGAACCCGGTCAGTAAAATCCACTAACCTTGTAATGCATCAGAGCAAACTACTCTACTAATCTACAGGAGGATTTGCCCAACGACTGGCCTACGTCTATGCCCGTAAACTAGATGTGATTAACAGAGGACTTTCTGGATATAACACCGAGTGGGCTATTCCCGTATTTAAAGAGGTGGGTTGGTAGGGAGCGTTTGCTACTATACCTAAACAGAGATACAGTGCTTCGCCAAGTCCGAAGTCCAACCATCGGTCCCAAAGGTCAAGCTTCTGGTGATTTGGTTCGGTAAGTTATGGGGCACCCATTACACAGATACTCACCATGAGACGCATATATAGGTGCCAACGATGCGTGTCTTGAACAGAGTCCACAGCATGTATGTCAACTTCCAACTAGTCATACTTGCGAATCACTCAAGGTTGTTACAGGTCCCACTACCTAAATTTATCGAGAACATCAACAAACTAGTCGATATACCAACCTCCCCGTCTTCGCCCTGGTATTCTCCAACGACCCGCATTATACTGGTGACAGCACCTCCCATCAATCCCACACAGCGAGGTAAAGAATTGGGTACAAGAAACCCTCCCATTGCTCTAGATCGCACGCATGAAACGACCAAGTCATACGCCCAAGCTGTTATTGACGTCGGGAGCAAGCGTGGGATCCCTGTCGTTGATTTGTGGACAGCTCTATGGAAGGAGGCCGGAGAAATCGAAAAGGGGTTGGAACAGCTTTTGCCCGATGGGTTGCATTGTAACGAGAAGTCCTATGGCGTGCGTGGTTGTCTTACGGTGTTTATACGCAGTATTTGTCACTCATCGCTTACTTTGACATAGGTCCTTTATGACCTACTTATCGCAACGATTTCGCAGCACTACCCGGAATTACACTTTGATAAGCTCCCGAAGGTGTATCCCGCGTAAGTGATATTGCTTGCGGCATTGTGAATATCCTAACTTTTGTCTTTGGACAGCTGGGACCAAATCGACTGGAAAAATCCAGGCCCGAGCCTCAAGCCCCATCGCATCGATGTTTGAGGTTCGCCTCCGAGTACATTACATCACAAAGAGAACGATTGAAGCCCAAAATTCTAACCGAGGGAAAATACATATACAGTAATGCCACAATGCTCTAAGAAATAGCGTCCTTACGGTCTGTTCATGGGATAGAAATCAATGGTTATCTGCGTCTGGGGAACCCCATCGAACGATTGCCGATTCTCCGTCATTCCAATCCTCAACTCTCACTCGAGCAAGCTCAGACATTGTGCTTTGGGCAGTTCCTACAAAACCTTTCCCCATTGACTGGAAGACGGTATCTAAAAGAAGAGGAAACCTATGACCAAGGTATCGGTCGTGTCATTGAGGCATAGCATGTATAACTTTGGCGTACATACCATTTGCCATATTTTTCACTTGTCTTTTCAGCAATATGGTCAATCCATCGCCATTCAGAGCCTAACGCAGCTACTTGTTCCCACCACCCCGAGTCCCGTTCATCGGAAGTTACAAGGATCCCCCGCACATCCGTGCTATTGGTGCGAGCCTTCAAGCGGGCCCGCACCTCATGTACTCTTCGTTCGTAGGCAGCGACGGGGGCAAAGCATTGGTCCTTGCTAACCTCCTTTCCGCAACCCCCCTCAAAATCAGTCCTGCGAATGTGCACCGAGATAAACTACACAGAATTATCCATTCAGCTCTTGGGGTTACGTGGTACACACAGTAGTACTCACTGAGGGGATCGGGTCCGTCGTGTTCTGAATACCAAAGTGCCGGCGAAGATACTGATTTGCGAGTTCTACCAGAGATTGTTTCCACCGCATATGTGTTCCGACCTGGCTCCAAAAAGGAGAGTAATCATTAAAGAACTGTATATTTTCGAGTATTAGCTAACTTCAAGACAGCGGGACTAGACACTGACATCCGAGCTTGGGTACGGTTCAAATACTCCTGTGTAATACAAACTATCCCAGCATAACATGGTTTCATCCGGTTCGAGCTTTTGATCTGGGTTGCTCTGTAGCGGGGAGGCTTTCCGGAATTGATCTGGGAGCACTCGAATCCGCGACTTAGCAAACCCAAGCGAAGCGAGCCCCCATATAGACCACATGTACGTATTAGGATCGGACCCATGGGTCAGAGAGAATGTTGATGGTACTGGCGTGTAGGATATATCTATGGCGGAGCTCGATTGGCTGGCCCACAGGAAGTAGATAAGACCACTTACCTAGCTCATATATCTCGGGAGAATAAGAGTAGGAGGGCCGGGAATCCTTATACCCAGCGGCAGTACTCCAACAGCCGATCTTTTCAGTTTCAGGGCGAGGTCCATCGACGGAAGAGTACACAGTCCGCTTCAGCTCATGCCATTCGACAATAGGGGTGCCGAGTTTGCCCGAGAGATAAGGAATGTCGAATATATCACTAAAAGGAGTAGGAGCAACGTCTGTTGCTTTGCCAAAGTGGTCGGCGAGGAAAGCAGGTACCACAGGGACGCGCTTTGTCAGAATGCTCAAGTACACCAAGCTCGTAACCTCCATGAATTGGTTTGTAAATCCAGCGCTGAGGAATGTCGTCACGTATTTCATAGACGGAACTAGGTTCTCTGTAACATTGCGGAAGATAGAGTTCAGCTCTCGCACGTATCCCAAAGCCCCAAAGCCCCAAAATCCTGAAATTCTCACCCCTAAAGGTGGCAGTGGCATTGGTAGTAAGTAGTGCAGTAGAGCCCGGGATGGGTCTACCGCGTACACCTTCATCCCCCTTCGTGGGTAGCACACTCATTTCGAACCATTTTGGAACGCTGAAACCGGATAGCAGATATATCGTCGCACCCACAATCAATAAACCCACCCATACGAAGGCGAGTCGTATATGATCGCGGCAAAGCAGCAACTTTATACTGGAGGGCTGTCTTATTTTAAGCTCAGTAAGCTCCGGGTCATCCTCGTACTCCATGCGCGAGATGGGTTCTAGAAACGGCTGAATAGATTCAGAATCGAAGGAATCCCGACGGTCTGATGCTGGGAGCATGATTACGCCTTGGGGTGGTAAAGTAAGAACGCGATCAAAAGTGATAAAGGTTCGAAACGAGTCGAGTGGGGCAATCAGCTCGCCAAGGGGGAGTAAAAATTATAGGTTCTCGAGGCAGTCTCGAGGCACGTTGGCGATTGTTTGAGACCCTGAGGTAGAGGTAGCTCCCGGGCTAGGCTTTGACCGTCGATCAAACCCGAAGGGAAACCAGGCACAGAAAGGAACCATCTCAATTCTAATGCTTGGTCGTTGGCATCTACTGCACGGCGCTACAGGCTACAGCTGGTTCATTCCCTCCAGCAATACAGCGCTATCCCGCAATTTATCGACAAGTATCCAAGGGTTCCCGCCCACGATTTGGATTCCTAGGTATCCAATCCAAGTCCAAAGTGATGGAATCAAACAAGAGTATTTATTAAATGTTGACAGTGCTAAGGTGGCCCGGCCACCCACCTTTTTGTTGGAGCCAACAAACCTGTGTTACTGATGTTAATATCACCGAGCTGTTTCACCCAGACATCATATTATAAAGATGGGCAAATATATGCGCATATATTGACCCGGACGAGCATCCCTAGACGTTCCCTTGAAAAGGTGTAGGTTATTTGATGGGGGCAGACACGAAATTGTATACTTCGAGGGTAAGCAAAATTACTCCCGGTGAAGGGTATTAAAATCGAAGGCCTTCCTGTTGTATCGATTAAGGTGAATGATATTTAAGTAGTAAATAGCCATACGACATCAAGAACTCTGAAAATGTTTCGACACACATCCCGAAGAAAAAAGACATAACCACAAACCAAGTGACCAAAATGTAAGTACCCCCTATCGCCCCCTCCGAAAAGACTAGTGGGTATCAGCATTTGGGGAACCCCACCGCACAACAGCACTAATACCATTATTCCAGGCTTCAACCCGGCGCGAGGACAGTAAGGTCATCGTACTATGATCCGTACCCACAAACCCAGTACCAAGGGACTGAAATACTGCGTCCAGCACGACTGGATACCTGTTTCGCCTCACAATCAACGACTGCTAGTTGCGCAACTTTGGTTTAACCACTCACCATTTTCCGTACTTCTCGACTGTCCCTTCAGCCTTATGATCTACCCATCTCCATTCGGGCCCGAGCTCAGCGATTTCCTTCCACCATTCGGGGTCCCGCTCATCTGAAGTAACAAGCACTGCTTGAGCATCGATTGGGGTTTCCCGTGTGCGCAATGAAGCCTGGACTTCTCGAACGCGCTTGGCGTACGCTCCAGGGGTTGCAAAACACGCTTCGCGGTTCACATTGGACGAGCACCAGCCCGCAAAGTCAGCGCGCCGGACATGGACGGAGATGAACTAAGCAGCAATCAGCGAAAAGCCAAACAAGTAATACGAGTGGTACACTAACAGGTGGTATGGGGTCGCCATCTTGGACCTTGAAGTGGCGTCGCAAGTACCCTTGGGCAAGTTCCAGGAGGCGTGGTTCCCAGTGGAGGTGCACCCCAATCCTCGGCCAATACGGTGCATAGTCCTTCCACCACTACAATAATTCGAGTTAGTGATCTGCATATGTCAATCAACCGG